TACCTGTAGATAAATGCTGGCAGTTCATGAAGTCCATTATAGTGGAGGTTTGTAGATTAGGATTCCATAACAAAGTACACATAGAAATATAAATTGGAAAGGATTATTATTTAAAAATGGATTTCCTTATATTCAGTGTCATTTTAGGATGGTGTACAGATTTTGAAGAGAGAAATTTTACTGAGAATAGCTGCAGATTAGCTGCTGAATATTTGCTTCGGGGTATGTCCAGATACATCCATGGAAACATACTGTGTTAACAGGTCCAGTAACGTTTTCCAGATAATATATATACAGACAAACAAGGTGGACGAAGTAGTAGACCGGGATACTGCTTTCCTGCGTTGTCCCTTGAAAGGTAGAAACCCAAGTTTTCACAAACTTAAAGCTGAACAACGGATAAATAAATAAAGGTGGCACGCGCAGTTTTGACAATTTTTTATAGATACCGGAACGATCTGTAACTTGAACATGTGGTTGTGTTCACGGTTTTTATAATATTACGATGGGAATTTTTGAGAAAAAAACAACAAACATAATTCAGTTACCTTTCCCCTGCTAATTTGTTAGACGAACGTGAATTGCCGGATAGATTATTTGGTAGTAAATAGGCTTCCCAGTCTCAGCAGCTGGCTGAGACGATTTTTCATCGGGCATGTAGATCTAACTACCTTTTCACTCGCCAATTATACAACCTGTCAACTAAAATATATTGAAAATAAAATACGTAAAACTTTACTTTTAAAATATCATTCATAAACGACGGATACCAAAGTACAACAAGCATAATTCATCAACAACATTCGCAATAACGTACGTTTCGCCGGCGGTGACGCCATTGTGATTAGTCCGTGGTTGTCCCCCCTAACGTCAAAAACGAAGTGGGCGGGGCTTATCGGCCGGGACTGGATCGGTCTATTGTCCGTGACCTATTCGACTGTTTCCGTTCATTTCCGTGACGTCACAGGAATGACTCGATAAATTTGCACATTGCGCAACAGTGTGGACGTAGCTCAGTCAGTTAGCTGTCGAGCTAACAATCCGAAGGTCGCGGGTTCGCGTCCGACGTGTTCTCACAAACTGGTTGCTTGTCTTAATGACACGTGACCTACGGCAGAGATCGTCCTCACGAGAAGTTGTGGTGCTGTATTCTAAAGGTGCTCCATTGCTTTGAAAACTGCAAGAGGGGCGTACCTTTAAAAACCACATCCAATGATTGTATCAATGTCAGTGAGACAAATGCCTTTTTTCCATCTTAATGATTGTAAACAATAAAGGCAGGTCACTCCAGTTTAGATGCTGCTGCAGGTCCACTCAGACCACTAAAAGAAAAATCTAATCATGGATAAATAAGGGGTCATGTTCAGTGTTGACATGAATGGAAGGGGTAGCACATTAGAGGTGAGGGGAGGTGAAATTGGGTTTAACGTCGTGCTTGAGAATATTTCGCTCATATGACGACGTGCTTGCGTGTGTATGTGTATGTGCGGCTGCTTGTACTAGCCCAGACTGAAGCTGGTTTTATAGTGCTAGCCCACTGAGATACCATGCCGCAGTGAAGCATGAATACCCCACATTATACTGACTCTGAGCCGACCAGTCCTTGTTGTACCCATTAGTGCCGAGCGCCAGGCAGGGACCAACTTTTAAGTACCATATTTTAAGGTCTTTTGGTATGACGCGGTCGGGGATCGAACCTGCGACCTTCCACTCTTCGGGCGGACACTCTAACCACTACTCCACGGAGGCGGTCTGTAGCACATTAGAAGTACACTGCCATCGCAGTGAGCTCTCCAGGTCCCAGTCTTCCAGAAGCTTGCTTGGCACGACCGAACAAAATATGTGACTATAATCATGTTTGTCGTGTGCGTGCGTGTGTGTGTCTATGTTGGTTTTTCTTTGCAATAGTGGTCCTCATTGTTGCAGTAGTATAGCAATAGTTGTCAAATATTGAAATTGTTTTGGGAGTACATGAACTTTATAGCTATAATTATGTTAATCAGTGTAACAGACATGAAGATGGTATTGTTGATTTCGAAGTCAACCATTTTCTTCCCTGTGGCTACAGTACAAAAAGGAATATCACGCTAATACTGGCAGGTCAGAAAATTGGTATGTTTTATTTATGATTAGTTGTTTATTCATAACACTATTAAAACTATAAAATGTATATTTTTGACAATACATTGGCATTTTTACATTCCCATTGATACAGTACTATCAGAGGACAAACAATTGCAATATATCAATTGTTATCCCCCGCAACGCGTTTTGCGGGGGGTATTAAAATGGAGTCCGTGCGTGCGTGCGTACGTCCGTCCGTCCGTCTGTCCGTCCGTGCACATTTGTCTTTTCCGGAGCAGAACTCTAAAACCGTTCAATATTTCTTCACCAAACTTGGCACATAGATAGATCTGGTGGTGTACTGGTGCCTTTTGGTAGTTTTGGAATTCTGAATAAATTATTTTTGGCGTTTCCATGGCAACAAGTTTAACTTAGCCTGAAATTGGTGGTAGTGCTCTTTTCCGGAGCAGAACTCTAAAACCGTTCACTATTTCTTCACCAAACTTGGGACATAGATAGATCTGGTGGTGTACTGGTGCCTTTTGGTAGTTTTGGAATTCTGAATAAAGTATTTTTGGTGTTTCTGTGGCAACAAGTTCGACTTAGACTGAAATTGGTGGTAGTGCTCCTTTCTGGAGCAGAGCTTCAAAAACCTTTCAATACTCTCCTTCCACTTTTCTATATACACACCTAAATATTTGACATAATCATAACTCGTAGACATAATCATGAAGAGTATTTTGCCATTGCGGGGGATATTGATGACTTTGTCTTCTTGTTGGATATACTGCTGCACACCTTATTTGTAGGGTGGTGTGGCAGCTAGCCTAGTGGTTAAAGCGTTAACTCGCCACACAATGGAATTGGGTTCAATTTCCCACATGGGTACAATGTGTGAAGCCCATTTCTGGTGCCCAATGCCATGATATTCCTGGTATATTGCTAGAAGCTGCGTAAAATCCAAAGCACCCGGTCACTCATTTGTAGTTTCCAGAAATTTGTGATTTATTATAGAGAAGCATGTACAATGTGAATCAGTGGCTGATCCAGAGGGGGGTTCAGGGGGTTAGAAACCACCACCCACCCCCCTTTTGAAAATGAGTAAAGACCACATTGAAGTTAATGTTTAGCAATGGCAGAGCCAAGGTGGGGTTCAGGGGGTTCGACGACACACGCCGGCGCGCGCGCGCACGCACGCACACACACACACACACACACTGGCCATACATTATGAATGAGCTCTTGTTACTCTCACTAAAACTCCACTGTCATCACTTCTCAACTCTAACCACTAGTGCTTTTCAACTCTGAGATTTAAGAGACTTTAATTATATCATTATTTTATTTCACCTTACACATTTAACTTTGATTGGACACTTGGAATATGCAGAAATCCAAAATCGTTGTATTCCGTAAAGGTGGATATTTATGTTCATATGAAAAATGGTACTACAGGGGCTCCCAAATAGAAACTGTCTCGTATTATAAGTATCTCGGACTTCATTTTACACCCAAACTAGTGTGGACAAGATCGAGACAGGTGTTAGCACAGCAGGTGGAGAAAGTATGTCTATACATATACAGACTTCACTATATGTGTGGCGGATTACAGATCACCACTGCAATTAGGATTTTCGAAAGCATGGTCCTACCAATAGTTACATACAGCGCCAAGCTCTTGGGATATGAGGTGGTAGAACAAATTGAGAGGTACAGACAAAGTTCATAAAAAAAATTCTACATCTGCCTTTGACAACCTGCAATGATGCAGTGCTTGGTGAAAGTGGACGACCTCTATTATATGTTTCTTATGTAACTAAATGTGTTAAATATTGGGCCAAAATAATCAACATGAATAACGACAGATTACCGAAGCAAACCTATTTTATAGAGCTGTGACGATATATCGTAGTATCGATAATCGTGATACTTTATCTGACGATAAATATATCGATACATTTTTTCGTATCGTGATATGTATCGTTGACCTTAAAATTGTTAATTTTCATTAGATATTGACGGTTATGTCAAAATTTCTTGCTATTAATATATGATTTTTTAAAGCAAATAACTAAAGAAAGCATATCGTGATATACATCGAATCGAATCGTAGCGTTCCAAGATATCGCGATACGTATCGTATTATGAAATTTCTGTATCGTCACACCTCTACTATCTTATGCTATATGGATTAGACAATTTCAACAGATCTTCTTGGGCCAAAAAAATCAAGCATATCTTATTCCAGTTCGGATTCGGGTACGCTTGGGTTATGCAAGATGTTGGACATATTGATTACACAAAGAGTGTCTGACTACAACATTCAACAACAGCAGTCTTTAATGTCATCTAACTCCAAGTTGACAGCTTATTCAACTTACAAATTGTTCTGCATGCGGAATCTTATCTCTCACAAATCAGTTCCCCTCCATTGAAGCAAGCGTTAACCAGATTCAGATGTGGCTGCCACCAGCTAATGATCGAAATGGGGAGACGATTGGGCATAGACATCAAGGACCGTTTATGCAGATACTGCCTTCGATATAATATCCAGCTTGTCGAAAACGAGTACCATTTTATCCTTGTCTGCTGTGCCTTCTCCGACTTAAGAAAGCAATATATTGAGTATAAATACTATGGTAATCCCTCATTTGAAACATTTGTTAGGCTTATGTCTTCAAATCGTCAACTTACTTCTGTGAATTTGTCTAAATACATATATTTTGCTATGAAATTGTATGAATGACTTCATTTGTAATCACAATATTGAAATGTTTTGTACTGTGTGCCTGTGGCCTAGAAAAACGTGAATAAAACGACTTACTTAATTGGACACTGTTTCTGTATGAACTGATTAATGTTAAAATGTTTTGTTGTTCATAGAATAGCGTGTGTTTGAATTATGAATTGTTACCATTGATATTTATCTTCTCCAGGTCAAGTGTAAAGATAATAGACCTGGAGGAAGATGGTTCGGATGATGAACAGATGAAAAGAAGGAATGCAAGCTCACCTGTAGATCCTAAAGGTATTATAAGGTTATTCCATACCCCATGTGTATAATCTAAGAGGATTCTGAGGAGATTCCAGGATTGAATGTGTTCTTCTGTGTGCATGAATGAATCATGTATGGACTTAGATGACCAAATTTTGGTGTACCCCAACCACTGGCCATTACCCAGAATATCATTCAGTAGATTATAAGTCATGCCTTAATTCACTTGTCATGAGTTTGAATCCCAGATTAGCCCTGGTTATGTTCCTTGGTTTGTCTGCTCCATATCCATGTTCCTAGATACATTATGATGAATACTGAACTGAATACTGTTCAGTTTTGCTAAAAACTCAGCTGTCTGATTACCGACACGATTGTAGGTAAACATTAATTTTGACATATTTAAATATAGAGTTTTTTTCCATCCCAACTCAGTACCGAACACCCAGGACTCCATTCCACAAAGATTTTAGCGCAATCACTGTTGTAAGTCTTAGTTAATCAATGGTTGTTACAGTTGTTTTAGCACTACGATACATGTGTATCAAGATAACAGACATAATTTCTTGTCCCGAGGTACCGCCTGATGAAGAAGATTTCTCTATGTCTCCCTAGGTTCCTTAGTTTGTGAAATACATCATGTGCATATACGTACCAAAAGAATTCATCTATTAACAGTTACTGTACGAAGATGTTTGGAACACTTTGTTAACAATATTGCCTTCGACTTGATAACAAATTTGAATGAAACTTTAACAATTAATTTGTGGCCTTAAAAAGGCTCTTATTTATCAAAAATGTTGATTGTGTTGTAATTCTGAGACATTTTCAAGAATATCATTTCTGGTACAAGTTCAACCGGCAATGTTGATTGGGATATTTCAAACGAAAATTTCTGACATATTTTCCTGAATATACTTTCTAGTTCAAGTACAACAACTCCAGAAAGTGCCTGTATCATTACTCTCAGTTACTCTATAAAAATCTCTTTCTTTACAGATAGTACCATGGAAACGCCTTCATCCAGGTATGTCCTTTATAGGCAAAATTGTACGTCTTGTAACTGGGTCAATTCTGATTTGCAACATGATGATAAAATAATGTATGATAAAATTATGGATGATAAAAATATGGAGAATAAATTACGAATGATAAAATCATGGATGATAAAATTACAGATGATAAAATTATGTACTGAAAGCCATTAAAAATGCAATTTGACATTCATACTTTCTTTACTCATACTAATTTCAACATATATAAACCTAACTGGCAGATATGTTTTAAGTGAACATCTGTGAATAATTTCATCTGAAAATGTCCAGTCAACAACAACATCAGTGACGCAACAACGACATCACACAAAGGAGGGGTCACTTGCAGTCAATATCGTGTGTGTCCACCGTGCGCTGCAAGACATGCTCGCAGTCTTTGGGGCATTGAAAGACACACATTTCTCAGAAACAGCTGTTGGATGGTCTGCAGCCTCTGATGGTCTATGGTCTGATCATGACACCACCCCCTCCAAAATGATCATGTTCAAGGACACAGTTTGGCGCAAGTCTTTCTCCTTTACGTCGATAAATCTGTTGACGTCCATCTGCAAAGGATAAGTTAAACCTGGATTCATCTGAAAAAATGACATCTGGCCATGTCCTGTTGCCAAGATTGGCCCCATTTGCTGCCCATCGCTGTCTGGCAAGTCTGTGGCGATGCAATAAGGTTGGACCACGGTACAGGTGACGACACCGGATGTTGAAGGCAGCAAGGCGTCCTTGCACCTTGTGGGCGTTGAAATGGCGTTGAAGTAGTAGTGGTAATAGCGGTACGGGATCAAGTCCAACAAAAGCCTCTGCAAAGCCTTATTTCACAAATAAAGCTTTTGTCAGGCCCTTAGATCCTCAGTATATCTACTACTTTTGAGCCCCCAGTTAACTTCCCGTCCACATGTGGCACTACTGTGCCGCTATGCCACGTTGACCTCGATGAAACAGTTTAATGTGAATCGCCTATGATCTCTTTGGTGTTCGTAATAAAGGCTTGCCGGGCTTTTTTCACCCCTTGTTCTATGTACTTTTTTTTCTCGTCTTCACTGATAGCAGTACTTTTACGAGATTTGGATCGAATCTCTTGTTTCATTTTGTTATATTTTGTGAGTTCAGAGAGGATCAAACGAAACTCCTCCTCTGAGATCTTGTTGTCAGTGAGTGCGGCAGAAATATGATCGCTTATGGTGTTCAGCTTTGCTTCAGCTAGAACCCTGATCTCATCGTGCTTCAACGCTTTACGATGCAGTCTGCGGGATACAAGCTTACCCACCATCCCTGCCAACCCTGCCACCCCAGCTGTTATTTCGATGCCCAGCACTACGGGTGCAGCTATGATGGTGGTCAACAACCCCACACCTACTGCTCCTAACCCCATGCTGGTTGCCATAAGGGCAGTATCAGCCCCGTCCACGACATTGAAAGCCCTATAGTACTTCTTGTACAATGCTGCCCGCCTATCGCGGTCTTGTTCTAGTTGGTGTTTTATGTTGCATAACTGCCTCAAGCGGAACCCGTCTACAGTTTCCAGGGTCTTCACTACTTCCTCTACGACTGGGTATAGCCCCATTCTGTGTGCCTATAATATATCTGATGGAATATTTTTTAATTGGGCTTCATCTAATAGTTGCTCAGTGTACTTGAGGCTTATAAGACTTAGATTCTCGGATGTGGAGATACGTGAAGGGTCAATAGGTAATTCCTGGTCTATATCAACATCTAAGCTGGTTACTAAGGGGGGTAGTAATCCCAGTGGGTTGCCCCCAAATCGTATAGTGATACGGCAAGGTATGGGGGTATCCCAACGTATTCCCAAGCCAGGTAAAAGTTGTAGGTGTGTTATTCGTAACAAACCGCCCGGGGCAACAAACTTACCCTTGCAAACGACTTCTATGATGAGTGTGGAGTATGGGGCCATAGTCCTAACCCCTTCTATGGTATCGGGGTGGGTGGCTATTAACTGGGACCGCCTGGATGAAACTAACATGTTGCCCCTCGGCCAAATTGGTGTTTTAGAAACTATCATCCTTTCAGTTGGAATGAAAGACGTGAGTAAGATACCGTTGTTCCTAATTTCAGAGACATAGCCATCTTTGTCTAGTGAGATATAAGGTGCTCTCTAAGGGCTGCCGTATGTACACACCGTTTTCAAAGCGTAGGACGTACGAGGTGTCTTCCCCACCACGCTGATCGAACCCCCTTGTGTCTCCTAGGCCCCCGAGTGTGATTTTGGGTAGATGATCGACCATTGCCGCCCGCCTATACACGTTGTCTTTGAAGTGTAGGATGTATGAGCCATCTTCCTCACCAGGCTGATCGAATCCCTCCGTGTCCCCTAGATCGTTAAGCGTAGCGTTGGGCCGATGCCTAGTCATTGCTATAATACTATTACGAGATAGTTTCCAATTGTTTTTCTGATAATCTCTCAGGGGTGCACTTCACCCCCATGAAGTGTATGTTGTCGGGTAGGAAGATCTTGGTTAGTGATATCGTGTCTTCCACAATCACGGTGACTCCCTGCAGACTGGTGTGGGAATCGACACCCACCCGCACGTAAACAGTGCAAACGTGATACTGGTGTCGTTTCCCCCACCGGAGTTTGATCCCCTTCACGATTTCGACTTCATCCCGCGATGGTTCCCCTAGGTAGACTTTGATGATCAGAGTGGCGTTCTCCGGTAGGCTCGCTAGGACATTGGCCACGCCAGCAAATTCAGACACCAACTGCAATGTGACGTCTTGCACTCACGGTTTACTCGATAGCATGTGGGCTGCCATATTGGCGACTGGGCTGATGACTATGCTACGTCTCTGAGCCGGGACGTAAGCCACGAGCAGGGTTCCGTTGTTCACGACTTTGTTTAGGTAGTTGTCTTTGTTATCCATGAACACGTAGGGGGAGCCTAGCCTAGTATTGAGAAACCAGTCGACTTTAGCGGGCAACAACACCCACTTATCGCCGTCGGTGAAGACAAGCGTATATGGCTTGTTTTGGGTGACGGTAGTGCTCTCAACATCTTCTAAGATTGCCCCCGAACGATGGGTATATTATCCATTTATCATCACCGGTGTTGACTAGGGTGTACCGAGTGTTGACGACCGCTCTTGAGGTATCTACTATATCACCTAGGGCTCCACCGGAGGGGACTTCAACGCGTTTGTAAATGTTGTTTTTCAGTTGCAAGGCGTACAATTTACCATCTACTCCGGGAGCGTCGAATCCGCGTGTTTCCCCGAGGTCGGAGATCCCCACATTGATGCATTTTTTCAACCCGGGGCGCTGGTCATTTTATGTGAAGCGTTATGCTGAGGTATCCTATATTCACCAGATTATGATTTATATCTAACACCGATATTATCAGCTCAGGGATGTTGCCCTGGGTTAACCTCTTATACTGACGCGGTGAAAACGACTCGGTTCTACCGTCGTCGTTCTACCGTCGGTACGGTACTAGGTCGGGTAACTTCGTGCCTGTGACGGTAGTTGTTGGTTTTATCTTGTCAGGCGACATACCGAGTGCCCTCGCCAATGGTCGGCTGAGCCTCAAGGGGTTTCTTCCGTTGTTGATTAACACCACTGTGCCGTTTGAGTCGTTCATCTTGAGTTCGGCCCCCAGGGGTTTGAAGACCTCGTCGCTTAGTGAGCACACGCTGTAGTAGCCGTCAGTTATCTGGTTGCGAGCGCCACCGACGAACAGCTTGTTGTTGCTGGCGTTGATGTTAGTCCATCGCGGTAGGTAGGTGATATCGCAGAGTGCGACTTCGGGTTGACCCGACGTGTTATCGATCGCGTGCATCAGCTGAACGGCCTCGCCGCTCGTTATTCCTCGAAGTGTTATGTACGTGTTAGAGTATATAAACACATTATATAATAGTTTTAAAATGTACTCCCCTGGAGTGTTTTACCCTAAACTGGACATAGATTTCTCACCCATGAAGATCGCGGTCGCTGATGCATTTCTACCCCCAGTTCATAGATGTGTTCGGCCGGTATAAGTTTTCGGTGACTAACGCTAAGGTAGTTCACTCTTGGTTCAACAACCCGATGCAGTTCTGGCAGAATCAACTCAACTTCGCCGTGTGGTGCGCTACAACGGGGTCAGGTGTGACATTGACCGACACTCGGCGTGGACCGCTGAGTCAGTCTGTGTTCACGTACCACGTGTACTACCAGATCAGACGTATCCTCAATGAGATCAGCGCCCCGCTCCCACAGGACAAAGCATGGAACGCAGTAAACAACCAGTACGACAGACGGGCCTACGAACGTATTTGCAATGAATTCGAACTAAACCCGAAGACGGATTGGCGTTTGCCGGGGCCAAACCACGGGTTGGGTATCCCTATCGTTCACAACATGCCCCTCGTGGATGCCAGCGAGAAGATGAAAGAATGGGGGTACAAGTCGTATCATCACATCACAACAAACGAGTGGGATGACCGTTCATGGCTTTCGACAACAGCAAGGATTACCGAGTCTGAAGGTTCGAGCAGGGGGCAGCGGATGACTGGAAAAAGTTTATGTTGGACACGTCGAGAGGGTTCACTCGTGCCGGTGTAATCAGGTTGAACGACTCGATTCGAACGTACGTGTGGGCGCTGTTGGGTGCGCAGACGCAAACGCGTTCCAACAACCTCGGTAAGGGGACTGCTTACGACGCTCAGAAACAGTTCGTTGTTAACGTTGAGGATGCTATCAATTCTCCAGTTGATCTCCCGAGTGCCATCAAACGCTACCAAGACGTGTTGGAATACGCCAGGTCGTAAGTCGACTACGTCTTCGACGTGGGACTGTACATGGCTCCAAGCGATATGCAACTGAGAGTTAAAAAAGTGATGGGCTACAACAACGAAATAGTAATAGCCACGGCAGACCAAAAGTTGGGCGTCAACCCCGATGTTAACACCCCCCACGTCCCACGACCGGTGAAACGGGTATAGTGGCGCCAACCCCGGAGTCCAGGGCTCAACCAACACCCCC